CCATTTAAATAAAATTTTGAGCATATTTTTAATCTCTTTTTAATCCAATGCTAACAATGAATGATAAATGTTAATTATGTTGCTTCATTAGAATTATAATATTTGATTTGCTTTGGGATGTTCATATCAACGTGCTCATGTTAGATTGCAAGTTAAATCAATGTACATAAATTTAGCCCGACCACTACTTCATAATTTGATCAATTAAAGAAACCTAGTGCCAGTGTTGGAAGCATTCATCTCTAGCCTCTTTAATTTGAGCATAAATAATTTGTACGGCTACTGAGAAAAATAGCTCCATTTTAAATTCAAAACTAATTTTAGAAAGATTTCAACATTTCATATGAACTAAGAATAAGAAGATATTTTCACCCATAATTTTCAACCATCAAATCTACTGCTTTTACAATTCAATATTGCATATTAAGTTGCAACCTCACGGTAAAAAATTAACTGCACCCCCAATCACTATGTCATGTTATCGCTCATCTTGCTTGAGTATCTTTAAATGTCTTGTCTTTATAAGCTTATTAAAATGTTACTCACAGACATGATCAATGTGTACGTGTTTGGTACTATAGCAATGATATCTTCGCAAGGTTTAGGTGATTGCAACAATGAACCAATTTTTGATAAAGTGTTTTATAGTAATAATTTTATTTTTCTTTATTTTGATAAAATGACTGATTTTAATAGGTTTAAATTAAAAATGGAAAAATAAGTTAAATTTCACTTCCTAATTAAAAATAATATTCAGAATATTCAAAGTTGGAATGTCATAAATTAAAATACTATATATTTAATTAATAAAAATATGTTTATAGCATCTTTATTAAATTTCAAATTGCTTGATTATTAATTTTATAATCCATTCCAATCATTAGTTCCACCCCAATTAAATTGTAGAATATTGAGCCATCATTCTTTTGGATTTAATATCTAGTATAATTTTCAAAACTTCAATGTTATTAATTAGGAGTTCTATCATTCACTTGTACATGATTATTAGTGTGATAATTATCAAACAAGTTTTGTCGAGCATATATAATCTCAAGGAGTAAAATTATGCAAGTAACCTTTTTTTTAATATTAGAGGCTACTCTCTCTTATATTTTTATCATTGAGAAAATTATTGCATAGTACATAAATTATATTTTTGTTAGGGATTGGTATACACTAAAAATACCAACAGGAATCTCAAAAAGAATTAATGACCAAAATAAAAGAGTTTTCTTTCGAGTTAATCAATCAATCGACAATTCAAGGCTAAGCATAAAGCGCATCTCCAAACCCGAGAGAGGTTCAGGCTCAGGAGATGATTCCCCGCTACTTAATGGCAAAACCCACCGAAAGTGATGCGTAAATCATCCCGCTAGCGAGTTTCATCGAATACTCCGCATAGGCTGCTACAAGATCCGCCTAAGACCTTGCTTGATTGGGAGATCCGGCTAATTCTACGAACCAACCAGGCTGTTGTTTATTCATGGCTCTTAATTATGACATAAAATGACACACTTGTAATTTTTTCTTTGCCTCTTGGAAGCCTCATCCATCTATAAATAGATGAGGGGTCTTAAGGGATGGAAAGACCACTATAAGGAGAGAAAAATCTGATCAAGAAGATCAAGAGGAGGAAGAAAATTCAGCAAGAAGAGGAAGAAGTAGAGAGGCTTTAGAATTGAGGGAGAGGTCTTGTAGAGAGAGAGATCTTGGTGATTCCTCGATGTAATGAGCTTGTAATTCTTCCTTTGTGCTAGTGAATTTGGTAGCGATTCCCTCCGTGGATGTAGGTCTAAGGACCGAACCACGTAAATCCTCGTGTTTGTGTTCTTATTCGTTGTGGCATTTCTTTCCTCTGTTTTTTCTGGTTTTTCCTTTTGTACATGCTTGCTGCGTTTTTCAGTTCTTGGAACAAGAACTTTTATATCAGCTCAGCGAAGGGCTTTGCACATCTTGCAAAGCATCGAGAAGTCTCTCTGGAAGAAGAAATATTCCTGTATAAGCTTGCAGGTGGATTTCCAGACAGAGAAGAGGATAAGGCACTGCAGCAAATTTCTTGGCATTCCCAACCGTAGCCTTTAAAGAAGTTTCAAGAAGGAATTTGATATTTTATTTTGCATTTCATTTCTTATTTCTTGGCATTCTTGACGGAGCAAGATTACAATAATTTGAAATCATAATCTTGCTGAAAAGATTTGTACAATACTATTAAATATCTTTTCTATCTAACTCAATCCATAAGGAGTTCTTCGCAAGAGTGAGGTTGTAGGTGTTTGGCGGAGCGGTTTTCACAACACAGGCTAACCTTGTGTTTTTCCAAACAATCTGACCTAATCTCGCACCTTTCATAGCTAGCCTCTAAGGGGTGGGCAACCTGACTAACCTTGTGTTTTTTATGCTATAATCTCATCCATTATTTCTTATACATTTAGCTCTTCCTAACAACCTCCACAAGCAAACTGTTGTACAAAATCATTCACAAAACTAAATCATACAACAAATATCAATTAAATACTGGGTGAATTATGTGGTTTGGCGCACATTAGTCTACTACCAGGAAGAGGGGTTATTAATTTCACTACCAATATCTCTCCTATAAATAAAAATGAATTAGGTGATCCATTTACAATTTATACAAATAAAACCTCTAATACATAACGTACTGCCGTCAATAAGATAAAACATAAAAAGAATTAAGATCGTTTTTAGTAAATTAAACACACAGAAAATGATAGTTTGGTCATCTTTCTACTCACATCGAAACAAATAAACAATAGTTTCCTGCAAGCAGCCAGTCTTAAGCCATGGAAAGAGACAGCCGTACCATTGAAAGGTTCTCTCTCTCTCTCTCTCTCTCTCTCTCTTACTTTCTTCCTCTATCAGGTGCATTCACGAGCAAGGAAATGCAGGAAAAAAAAAAGTTTCGGGAACACTTTAGTTCGAACTACTTTGTTCACAGAGCGAATTGGAAATCCAATAGACCTTCTTAGCCTTTCTGGGCGTTCTGAATTCACTTTAGATTATCATAACAAATAAGAAGTCAGATAGTGTAGGCAAAAGCAAAAGTTCTTTTTACTACTATTAGCAATTCTCTCCAACGCGCGGAAACTCTCTCTCCCGACCTCACGAGGCACGATAGACACAATGACAAGGCAGAAAAATAAAGCTAAAGGAGAGTAGCTACAAGATAAAGTGCTCCAGTCGATGGCAGAGCTTCTCCCTTCTTTACGTTCTAATTGGTTAACGGAAGGTTGGGACTTAACCTAATTAAGCTGCTTGATTAATCTAACTAATAGATATCAGTACTACTTCCGCTGAGCTCCAAACTGTTCCACAACTCTGTAATGTGGGTCACTTCGTGCATGTTTGGTGATAGAAATTTTATTAACTAATTTAGAGGTGCTGGAGAAAATTTTATGTTGGGTAAGTTGGACATGCGGTAAATCACAATTTATTGTCGAATGTTCAGATGTGATTCAAATCATTGTCCGCACGTCTAAATAATAAAATTAATAGTTTTTTTATCATACATCTGACGGCCTAACACAAGACTGTCGTTCGAATCGCTATTTAAATTTTAGAATTATAGAAATGGAGTTGTAAGCTTTCTGATAAGTAAACTTTGTTGGTTTTCAAAACCAAACTTTAAACACCAACAAAAATGGAGGAATTTTTTTAGTAGTTCACTCACCCTCTACATTTTCTGATTTAATTTATAAGCAAATACATCACATTTTTCTGAAAATAAAACTAACTAACCACTTAACGGTTTTCCTAACCACCTAACCACAAAACGGTTTTCAAAACTTCCTAATCCACATGAAAAATGTGCAAAAATACATAAACAATTTCTAGAGACAACTAGATTAACACAACCAACTTATTATAATAATACGGACAACTTGTTTGATTTTATATTTTTTTATTGAACATATAATATTCAACAAGAGGGAAATTAGCCTAAGATTTATCCACCCTTAATGTTATTTTTTGTCTTTTTCTCACTTAGAAATGCCCAATAAAATATTTCTGTATTAAATTTTAATGTATTTATATTTTCTAATTAAAATTTAATGGAATTATGTTGCTCATTATTAAAATTTAAGTGTTACATAATATTTAAAAATTTAGATAAATAATAAATGCACTGTCACACACAACATCATTGGAAACTACATGAGAGTAAGTTCATGCACATGATGTTATCTCCTGTGATTATTTGTCCGAACTTATGATCACCGGCACGTAATATTTTTTCTTAAAAAATGAGCTGCTTCAATCCCTTAACCCGATTTCAGAGCAATTTTATTCGTGTCATCATAGTTTTTGGAATTTAATTAAATAATATATTTTATAAATAGAAAAAAAAAATATTCTTAGATCTTCAGAACTCAACATCTAAAATTACTCTACTTTATCTTTAACTATTGGGTTAAAAAATCCAGCACAAAATAATGAATTCTAAAGGCCAAAAGCTTGTCAAGAATTACATAGTATTCTATAAGAAATTCTTGTCATCATCCATCATTATAGGAAGATAAATAATAAACATGGAATTCAATAGAAAAGCAGCTCTGAGATCTGAAATGAAAATAACTATTATTGACATAAATAAACTTTTTTTATCAAAAAGAACAAATGGCTGGTGAAAATGGATTCTTCACAGAAGTTCTTTAAGAATTTGCTTAGATGATTTTTCTTCCTCTAGTAGAGAACTATAATATTCTAAACAACATAAAATGGGCACTAACAGAAGAAAAAATCCTCATAGAGCTTTTAATAAAAGAAAATCTCACAGATTTTAATCCATATATAAGAGAATTGCATAAAGAAGATCTTGGCATTTTGCATTCAGATGCTTGTTTTCTATTACGTCACACAATAAAATAAAAATCTTGATAAAACTTTATCAATCATAATTATTAGACTAGATGAGTCAATAAAATATTTTCTATAGTAAAAAAATAAAAATAAAAATCATTTTCTAAATTTTAACCCACTTAATTAAATAACCAAATTCCAAATAATTTTTTAAGCTCGTCCATGCCATTACTATTAAGTCCCTATTCAACATAAGAAACACTCTTAATAATAATTTCAATGGGAAATCATAAAGTCTATTCTTTTCCATCTCTCAAGGCGCCATATCTCCACTATCACCTTTCCCTTCCTCCTCCCCTTCATCGCCATCGTCATCATCATCCTCCTCCTCCTCCTCCCCTTCCTCTCCAACACCAAGCATCGACTCAACAATATGCGGCGCATGACCGCCGCCAAACGACCGCACATGATCCTTTAACGACCGCTTGTGTTTGAAATCAGACCCGCAGATGCAGAACCATAGCTTCCCGCAATTCTTCTCGTGCGTGCGCCAATCCCCGCGCACGGCGAACGTTTTCCCGCAGCGCCGGCAAGCAAACGGACGGGCGCCGTGTTTGCGCTTGTAGTGAGTTTGTAGGGTTCTGAAGTCCTTGAGTGGACGAGACCGCGGGTGATCGATATTGTTCTTGCAACCTTCGGCACAGCAGTAGCATGGAAGCCGCATCATGGAAGCTGGAGTTACCTTTGCTGTCGCTCCGCGCAGAGAATCGGAGCCTTTTCTGTATTGTGATCCATGTCCCCACATGTGCATCTGTGCATATTTGTGTAAGATTATTATAGGTGGATATGCTTTGTGTTCAGAGAAGAAGAAGAAGAAGAAATGTTATGAGATATGTATAATATGATAAATGAATTTTCTCGTGGGTGTACAAATAAATTTTAAGACCCACATGAGAATAAGTCAAATCATTTATTTTTTTTTTTATTGGGGTTAGGTTCAGTTCTTCTAATTGGATATATATTGTCAGATACTTTCTGTTATTTTGTACCAACAAATCATAAAAATAACACATGAATTAGTTCTATACGACAAAATGTACTGCTGCGTAGGGTAACAAAATAAGGAGAGTATTTATTTGACTATGGTACGCATGAATAATAAGATTTTTCTTTTTTATATAAAATAGTCGATGTTGAAGATTACCATCGTGAAAATTTTAGGCTAATTATTTTCATTTTATTTAATTAGAGATCTAATAGTTGCAATTGTATTACTTGTAAGCATGCTCCAGCTTCGATTGACTGTTGCGAGACAAAATTTTCGGCAGCTTAAACTGCCGTCTAAACGTTCTAGGATTGGTCTTTTAATGTACGTACACTTATATATATATTATAAATTTTTTCTTGATTCATTTTACAATCTTAGTTATCTCTTTTTTCAAACCAAAATGGTGAAAACATGCAAAACAAACTTTGCAGAAGTGTAAAGTTTAAATAAATATTCAACGATAACTTTTCTAAGGAGATTAACCCAAGGCTTACTAATCTTCTTAGCTAAATCTGAAACCAACTCTAAAATCCTGCAGATTTTGGTTCAAAAGTAAGCACTGAGATGTTTATCCATACCAATTAAAAAAAAACTTTTAATGACTTTAAAGCATAAGAAACTGACACTGAAAGATAGATAAAGCTGCTAATTAACATGTTGGTACAGAGATAGAATCACATATTTAGAGGAATAAGAGCATGAACCAAAAGCTAAATGAGTCCAGATGAAATTAGGATTTTACTAAAAGGTGACTAAAACATCATGCCAACTTTAGGAGGAAGAACTTCTCTCATTCTTAATTTACATAACTAAAAAAAAAAAAAACCGTTTATCCAACGTAAAGTGCAAGCGCTACCGCTGGTTCTTCACTGTATGACAAAAAAAATGCGTCAGGAGGAACAGTTCATTCTTAATTTAACAATAATAATAATAATAAATTAATGGCAACGTGGGGTACGAGCGCTTTGCTAAATCTTGGTTGTAAATAAGAAGAAAAAAATATATATATGTGCAGAATCTCCTTAAAGTTCCTTGTTTTTGTAGTGAAATAAAAACATGCAGCGTAATATTCCTGACTAAATATAATTTTCATCATTAAACTTGTATTCAGTAAACTTATATCAGCAGCTGCTTATATTGAAAATCAAAAGGGGAGAGGCACTCAAATAGATCTACCTAAATAGTGACTACACATATCACTTCTTTTATCTTAGCATTTAAGATAAAAATAATTGTAAAATAATAATAATAAAAGGAACTAGAGTAATTGGAATAATTAGTTGAACCCTAACTAGAGCCCATCAAAGTCAGAAATCACTCATTATCCTTATCTCAATTTTGATCGTAGAGCTAATGTAATCTATAAAAATTAAGATAATAAACACAATTTAGCTTTTGGTCTCCCATTAAAATCATGAGTTCAAAATCTAAAACATTAAATACATAGTTCAATCTGTAGAAAATAAATTTTCTAATTTTATCGTAGTTCTTATACCCTAAAAACAATAGTTTTTCAAACTGTGCATATAAAACGTCGAGTGATCACTGCCAAGCAAGGCTTAAGAGCAGACCTGCATATTATTAAACCGGTTGAAAGTCTTATTGCACACAGCACAGGAGAACTGTGTGGCGCCAACCAATATCTCGGCGGGCGGCG